TGTGGGATCCAGCTGCCTTAAACACTGTGCCACTGACTTGTCCCAGAGGACATTTTTTTAAAGACAGGGTCTTATGGTTTGGGTAATGTCTGTCCCCCAAGGGTTTGTGTTTTGGAATTAGGTCCCCAGTGTAACAGGAGGTGGTGATGCCTAGCTAGTGGAGATCACATCACGGAGGCACTAGTCTTGTGAGTGGATTAATGCTGCATCATAAGAGACTGACTGTGTTCTAGCTGTCATGAGAAGGGGTTGGTTCCTGTGCAAGAAGGCTGTTATGAAAGGAAGACAGTGGTCCCGGGTTGATCTCCCTGCATGCCACCATCCTTTCTACTTCTGTCAGCCATGCTGTGACGTAAGCCAGTGTGATGCCAGCCCTACATGTTTGGACATTCCAGCCCCCAGAACTGTGAGTCAAATAAACCTTTACTTCTTTATGAATCACTCTGGCTCAGGTACTTGTTAATAATCCAATAATGAACTAAGATGGTCATGATCCTCCTGCCTCAGTCTCTCAGTAGCTGGGACTACAGGTGCACTACCATGCCTGCTTTGTCAGACAGGTGTCACTATCCTGTCTACACCGGCTGTGAACTCATGGTCCTCTTGCCTCTTTCTCCTGAGTTGCTGGGACCATGCCTGGTTTTTAGAGTAGTTCAGGAATGAAATATGGCCCTCCCATGTGGTTTCAGGTTGCTGAGTGGCAGCGTCAAACAGCACACATTACTATGGCTGGAACAAGAACATTTTGAGATATGTTAATGTAATTCTGAAAACACACACACACACTCAAGAAAAAAGAAAAGTATGGTGGTACACTGTCACTTAAAAGCACAAGTATCCAGAGAGGCACCATAAGCCCCAATCCCAACCAGTTTCGGGTGGTATAAAGCAGAGGGAAAGACGACTAGAGACTGTACCAGGAGGATGGAAAGCAAGGATAGAGCAACTTGTATGAGCTCAATGTACCCTTCCCAGTGCCCCTAGGTGGCACTTCCAATCCCTTTAATGCCATGGAAGTTAAATTTTCCTGGAATATCTCAATTGACATAGCTGGCTGCACAATCATGTACACAGGTGGGACTACTCAATTGGAAGTGACTTTCCTGTGAGAGCCAACTGAGTTGTATTTTCTAAGGCTGAAGATCTGATAGGGACTGAACATCTGATAGCCTGAAAAGCTGACTTCTGACCAGATGTGCAATAACTTGTTTTTAAAAGAAAGTTTCTTTCTTTCTTCTATGAGTAAGAGAGTCAGAGAAAGTGAGAGACAGAACTACCAACAGTGTCTTCAAGACAATATCCACCCACTGCTTCGGCCAGCCCATGGTCATGGGTAGTGCATGCTTGGTGTACTCAGAGGGGTCTCCGGATGTGAATGTGAAACCTTCCCACGTAGGTCACCCTGGCAGAGTTTTTACCACGGCACTATCATCCAGCCCCCAGTAGCTATTATTAGTGCTATGAAGGATCCTTCTCCCTCTCCTGGGCCTTTTCACCCCCATGTATTCCAAACGCAGCACAAATCACTAGCTGCTGGTTTACGGGCCCTGGCGTTTCTGGTAGGTCTCATTACCTTCCTAACAGATCACAGTTAACATTGAGGTAACTGGCTGAATCTTAACCACAGTACCTCTAGATGGAGGAGGATATGATAAATAATGAGTCTGAAGACTACATATTGGGAAGATGCTAAGCTCATGGATACAAGTTACATAAAACTCTAATTTTCACTTGAAAGCATAAATTTATCATTGACAGCAAACGCTTCCCTGAAATGACCAGCTCAGTTCATTTTGGAGAAAATACCTGCCAACTATCCAAATTTAGTTGTTCTTTCTTTCAAGAAAAAGACAATATTCCATTTAAAAAGTGGCTAATTCACTTTGCAACCCAAACAATCACACAGTATTCTTTTTTTTTTTTTTCTTAGACCATCATATTTGGATAATCTAAAGATGGAGAAACTGAACAGGTTAAAAATGTTGCCAAAGCCCACACTGCTAAAGCTAGCCAAATTTGGATTTTTGGTCTCTAAAGTCTATGCTTTTTCTACTATGCTCTTCTGAAACCAATGACAAGAGTGTCTCCCAAATAATGGAAAAAAGATAAAGAGCTAAACACGCCTAGTTATAAGAATAAAGAACATTAGGGTCTGTAGCCTCCTGGGTTTCTCTCAATAATCCTTAGCTAGGAGTCTTAGCTGCCCTGAGAAGAACTCATAACTGGACTTGTCTTCTCTGCATCCACATTGGAGCACATGGAATTGAAAACAAATTCATGAAATGTAAGCTGGCCCCACCTGTATGTGTGCATGTGTCTACATGACATAGAACATGAACAATAGAAAAGGAAAAAGGACAGGGGAAAACCCATTTGGTTTTTCCATTTCCTGGACTGGAACCTGATTTTCATTCATGGCAGTGCATCCTCGGCCTTGACACAGTCATTTAGAGGATGTGTTCTTTATTAGCTTTGTTCAACTTGGCTGGCTTCAGCTATGTGCTTCCAGCTGGGCTGAGGCCAAGGCTGAAATTCCACTAAATTCGAGTTTGCTTAAGAAAGTATAGGCTGCCTCCTGCTTCTATCTAGCTTAGCTCCCACTTTTGGTACTGCGTGTCTGGCTCCCTCTCCTCCTCCTGATTTTCATTCCTATAGCTCAGTTAATACTCAAGTTAACTGCAGAGAAGAGGGCTCTATCTTTGCAGAACATAGTCTGCTAATATGCCTGGACAAGTCTAAGCCACTCAGAGGTAGCATGAAAGCACACTGTGAATGAAGCATCTGATAGTCACCCATAGGGTCAAATGACTAGCTTTCAGCTTTCCTTAGCATAAGATGGTAAATTTTAAAAGCTTACAATCAGGGCCAACTGGTGGTATGCTGGTTAAGAAGGCTAAATCCCACGTAGCCAACAGTGCGGTTCGAGTCTCAGACCTAGTGGCTTGAAAAACATGCCAGGTGTATGTGTGGGCTTGTCCAAAGTTCTGCAAGAAGGATAGAGAAGGGATTGCAGGGTGACCATCCTCCCAGGAGGTGCTTTCTCACTTTCTTTCTCTCCCTCTTTCTGTCTTTCTCCAGTGAACATATGTACTTCAAAGCATGAACAATTATTGTACGTTAATAATCATTGCCAACTTCCATTTCCCCAAATTTAAACAAAGCATGCCTGTCTCAAGTTTTAAGTCATACACACACACACAGCTTCTGAATTTTATAACCAAGTATCCCAGACTTGTTCCAAGTTCAGCAGTTGCTGAACATCAGAGCTGGCTTGGCCCCCGGGCACTTTGGGAGCTAACAGGGATCCAAGGAGAGGCAGCGAACAGCTGGCACACTGGAGTGCCCTCGGGTTCCGGTCAGCCTGGGACCAGGGAGCAGACAGTCGCAGAGTCACTGCTAACTACTCCAAGGTCATTAAGCTATACGGTACTGCAGAGGCGGAAACGTCCTTCGAGATCTAGTCAGTCTCTCGCACATAGAATGACTCGCCCAAAGATAAAAACAGGTCTGCGGCTCAGGCAGGACTAGAACCTCTGATATGACACCAGACAGTTTCCTTCCTTCCAATTTCTGGTCAGGATCCAGAAGTTAAAATCCAGGGTGTTGGGCCCAGCAGGTGGAATGGAGGTTAAGGCGCTGGATCCCACTGACTCTGCGGTTAAAGTCCTGGACCTGACATGCTGGGTGCATGCTGTGTGTGTGTGCCAAAAATCCTGAGAGGAAAAATGGAGAAGGGATTGTGGCATGGCTATCCCCTCTAGGAGGGGATTTCTCTCTGATGAGAGCACATGCCCTATAACGAAACAAAACAAAATGACCTCTAGAGGGTCAAATAAAGCTTTGAAAAAGACAGCTCAGACTGGGGACAGCAGAGGGGAGCCACGAGTGAAGGCAGTATGGCTCAAAGTAACCCCTGACTGTCAGCTCTACTCAAAAGTCTCCACGGCCCCTCCGACACTCATATATCAACAAGAGCCATGCCACTTAATTGTATCTTAAAACAATTACACCTAGTTCCGAGCTACCAGGAAGATGAAAGTGTGTGTGTAAGAGAACACAGAGCCGGCTCCATGGCCTAGCGGTTGACAGCTGGAGCCACAGGGCTGACCATGCAGTCTGAGTGTGATCTGGGCCCAGGGCCTTGAGAAGCAGGCGGGCCTGTGTATGTACACGTGTCCAACATTTTGAAAGGAGGGAGAGATGGAGGGGAAGGGACTGTGGTATGACCACTCCCCACGGGAGATGCCTTCTCTTCTCTCTCTGGCAAGTGCACACGCTCTCTAGGGGGAAAAAAAAGCACGTTAAACGAATGTGGTGGTGTCAGTTGGCAGGGCAGTGGTAAAGGGGACACGCTGTGAAGCAGTTCCACAGGAATGCTCAGCATTGGGAACCAGCAGTTAGCGTAATGGCTATGTTGCTGGACTCCCACGTAGTCGACCGCGGTTCGTGTCCCGGACCCGGTGGCTTAAAACTCACGCCGGGCGCGTGTGCCTGTGTGCCCAAGATCCCAAGAGGAGAATGGAGGAGAAGGGATTGCGGCGTGACCATCCCCCCTGGGGGGTGATTTCTCGCTTTCTGTCTCTATGTCTCTCTCTGTCTGGCGAGCGCACGCGCCCTACAGTAAAAATCTCTCCAAAAAGAAAAAAGAAAAAAAAAAAAAAAGGAATGCTCAGCATTCAGCTCCAGGGGTGGCCCATGAAGGGAGTCTGACCGATGGCTGGGGGTGCACCACAGCGTTGAGACCCCAGGCTGTCTCTGTCTCTCCCTCTCTCTTTGTCACTCGTGAAAACAATAAACAATAAATAAATGAATGCTGGTATTTTTTTCCCTACTTACCATGAGCAAGAAACCTTTTCGTCTTAAACTTTTAAATATTTGTACACTAATGACTGGAAGGAAGGAAGGAGGGGGCAGTACGATTTAGAAAGAGAATGGATTTACACACAGGGAACATCTTGTTTTGTGAAATGAACTGAGTAACCGCATTTTTTCCACATCAGATCACTTGCTCCCGAGCCAGGACACCGAGATGCTAGAGCTCTGCTTTACGGAGACGGTGGGACCTTCTGAGGGCAGGAGGCAGGAAGCAGAGTGCTGCCGGAAGGCTGCTGGAACGATGCTCTAGAAGTGCCTGCTGGAGTAAGGTCTCTACCTTTCCAGGCTGGTCCTTCTGGCCACCTTCTGTTAGAAAGCCAAGGTCTCCACAGAGACACAGAGGAGGAAAACAGGCAGCGGACTCCTCTGGAAGCACCAGCCACGCAGGGAGTCATGTGTCTTATCAGCGTGGCGAGCAGCCAGGAAGGAACGCCTCCAGCCATTCCTGGACACAAAGCATCTCAGCTCTGACTCTGGAGAACCGCTTAACTGCTCCAGGAGATTCCCAGTCCAATGAAGAGAATTCTCTAGGTGAGGAAGTGAGAATTCAACCTACTGACTGAACAAAGCCCAGAGTACCATGGGTTGCCCTGCTTAGCCTCGTGTAAACAAAAATGATTCTACTACGGGTGCCAAAGCACCTCTCTTCCTGTGGCTTCCCAGGTTGGACCTACAGAGCTTGTGGTGGGGTGGCCGCGACTTCTCACCTGTGCCCATGGCACCTGCTCCTGGCCACATCTCGCGGAGTGGCACTTTCCTGAGCCAACAAGTGTGTCTCCTTCTTACCTGCCCCATGCCCTTCACCTCAGTGCCACTGTCCTAACCACGCAACTCTCACCTCTTCCTCAGTCACAAGTGCCACCATGCAATCCATTTCCCACAGAGCAGCCCAAGTGACTTCTTATAGATAAGAGCTTTATTGACATATAATTCACATACCTTACAATTCGAAGTGTTTTTTTTTAATATATTCACAGGGTTATGCAAACATTATCCCTAATTTTGAAATAGTTTCTTTTATTAGCCCCAAGATAAACCCCATGCCCACTAGCAGTCACTGTCCCTTCCCCCGACTCTGCCACCTCAGCCCCTGGCACCTACTGGTCACCTACCATCTACTCATCGCTGTAACGGCCTGTTCTGGACATTCACAGGGTGCGGTACAAGGCTCTGAGCGGCTCTGCTCACTGAGCATGATGGTTTTGAGGGTCGTCTGTGCTGTGGCAGGTATCGGCACATCGCTCTTACATTGCCAGTGTCACAGTCTATGGATATGTCACATTTTCCTTTGATAAACAGTTGACAGAATCATCTGATATTGTCTTCTCTCTTTTTTTTTTTTTTGGAGAGGTTTTTGCTATAGGGCGCGTGCGCTCGCCAGAAAGACAGAGACATAGAGACAGAAAGCAAGAAATCACCCCCCAGGGAGGATGGTCACGCTGCAATCCCTTCTCCTCCTTTCTCCTCTTGGGATCTTGGGCACGCACGCACACACACCTAGGGTGAGTTTAAGCCACTGGGTCTAGGACTCAAACCACGGTCAACTACATGGGAGTCCAGCAACATAGCCATTACGCTAACTGCTGGTCCCTCTCTATTTTTAATTGCCAGGAAGCGTGAATGCTTGCCAGAGAGAGAGAGAGAGAGACAGAGACAGAGAAAGCACCCACTATCCCCAGTGGATGTGGTAATGGCATAACCCCTTTTTCCTTCATTTTTCCATCCCCTCAAGATTTGGGGCACAAATGCACAGGTGCTCATTCAGCCTGTTTTCAAAGCCACCAGGGCCGGGATTCAAACTGCTTGGCCATTGAATCCAGCTCCCTATGCATGATGCTTAGTCACTGTGCTACGCGCTGGCCAGATGATGCCTTATTTCTTGATTTTACTGTTTCCCTTCCATCTCACCCCACTAAAGTGGAAGTGCCACAGGACAGGTCTGCGGTTCACTGCTGTATCCCCTCAGCTGGGCTTGGACTTCCTGGCTACTGTGAATAGCGCTGCCATGAACATGCATGATGCATTTTTGTGTGGCCATGTTTCCTGTTCTCTGGGGTAATGCCTGTGAGTGGGACCACCAGGTCACACAATGACGCTACGTTTAACATGCCAAGTAACTTCCAGACTGTTTTCCCAAGTGGCTGCAGTGTTTTACAACCTTATCAGCAATGATGAGAGCTGCTGCTTTTTTCCACATCCTTGACAATACTTATTATCTGTCTTTTGATTATAGTCATATCCATCAGTGTTAATTTTTTTTTTAATTTTTTTTTTTTATTAAATTTTGCCAGCGTGTGTATATGCTTGCCATAGAGGGGCAGAGAGGGGAGAGAGAGGGAAAGTGAGACAGCACCTCCTCCCAGTGGGGGATGGCCACACCACAATCCCTTCTCCTATATTTCTCACTCCTTTTGGTATTCTGGGCATGCACACACACGTGCCTGGCCAGTGTTTCGAGCACTGGGTCCAGGACCTGAACTGTGTGGTGAGCCATGTGGGAACTAGCCAACTTAACAACCACACCAGCGGCTGGCCTGCAAAGCGGTATTTCACTGTGCCTCTGATTTGCATTTCTCCGATGGTGATGTTGAGTTTATCAGCCATCTGTATGAACTCTTTTTTTTTTTTTTTTTGGAGAGATTTTCGCTATAGGGCGCATGCGCTCACCAGACAGACAGAGAGAGACAGAGAGACAGAGAGCAAGAAATCACCCCCCAGAGGGGATGGCCACGCTGCAATCCCTTCTCCTCCATTCTCCTCTCGGGATCTTGGGCACGCACGCACACGCACCCGGTGTGAGTTTTAAGCCACCAAGTCCGGGACACGAACCGCGGTCGACTATGTGGGAGTCCAACGACATAGCCATTACGCTAACTGCTGGTTCCCATGTATGCAGTCTTTGGAGAAATAGCTATCCAAATCTTTTGGCCACTTTTACATAAGGTTGTCTTTTGGATTGATGAGTTGAAAGTGTCCTTTTACATCCTGTATACAAGTCCAAGTGATTTTAAAAATGCAAATCAGGTCTTGTCCCTCTCCTACTTAGTATATCCTCCACCGGCTCCTCAACACATTCAGGATAAAATCCCAAATCCTGTCTGTACGGCCCTGCGTGATGTGGCGCCTGCCCTTCCGCCGGCATCACGGTGCCCCATTTCCGTGCACGGACAGTGCGTCCTCGCCGTGCAGTCATGCTTTGCCCTTGGACACAGCGCGCTCCTTCCGACTCAGCACGTCGGCGGGCTGCCCTCCGCGTACCCGGAGCTCTCTTCCCCGGGGCCTCCTCCTCACTCAGGCCTCAACTCAGTGCTGACTTCTCAGACACATTTCCCTGAAGAGAAATTCTGTCTAAAACAGCTCCCCCTCCGCAAGGAAACTTTTAGGGATGATAGATATGTTTTGACTGTGGTAACGGTTTCATGAATGTGTGTAAGTATATATATAAATTTATGTCAAAACTTTTCAAACTGTACACTTTAAATACGTGTCCCTTATAATTCAATAAAGCTATCAAACAAAGACGTCCCTTTGTAACTTTACCTTTATTGCCACTATCTTACTTCTTTGAGGGAAATCATCTTATTTCTATCTATAGAAATTACCTATTGGAAATTGCCATATTTTAAAAATGTAAATGTTTGCCTCCTGTCTCACCCTCCTAAAACGGAAGTGCCACGAGGGTGGGACGTCGTGCGTGTTTGTCACTGCTGTAGCCTCAGCTCGGCTGACAGTCAGGTGCTCCGTAAACACTGGCTAGGAAAATGAAAGAACTCAACAGAGGTTTTGAAAAAAGATCTTCAGACGGTAGAAGGGGTGACCTTCCCTGCCCTCGGGTTCACCACTACTTTTTTAGACTTAAGAAGATGAGATTATTATTCTTTATTAAGAACAGTTCTATAAAAATCTATCCTGGATGGTCAGTACCACTGCCATTCATCGAAAGCACCATTTAGAGTTCATTTAGTCTGTGGGACTGTTCTAGTGCGTACATATACTCTCCCACTGGTAGGGGTTAGTTTTATAATAATAGTTCTATAATGATGATGATAATATAGCATGTTATAATAACAAGTTAGTATAATATACACCATTAGTAAGTATAATACATTATATAAAATAATAATAGTGGCAGTAATACAATAAAACAATAACTTAGTACTTGCTGTTTGCCAGATGTAAGCATTTTACCCATGGAAGCTCATTCATTCCTCACACTAATGTTATGAAGTCGGTGTGCTTTTACAGATGTGGAACTGGAAGTTTAGAAAGGTAAATTAACAGCTCAAAGCCGCAGTGTGTAAAAGGCAGAGCCGGGAACTCACACTCACATCTCTATCTCAAAGCCCACGCATTCTGCATGCTACTGCAGAGCTTCTGGAGCATTTTTACCACACTGTGTTACTCCGGCTTATCTACAAGGAAGAGGTGTACCTTGAGAATGATACTACTCACACGCTGGAGTAGGTTAGGGTCTAGAGTAAGAGAGGTAAGAAGCTAGCTACCCGAGATAAACCAGGACATTTAGAGCAAGAAATCTGTCCCCAAATCCCAGGCCTGGCTTCATTTGACCCTTAACTCTTACTGTGTCTAGCTCGTCTCTGGAAGACCTCGGCCGGTAGCTGGGCTGGTGGTCCTGCTCCTCCCTGCTCCCTACGGATGCTCCCTGAGGTAGCTGATGCTGACCATGACGCCCCTGGGCCATCTCCCTTTCATCTGGGTCCTGGGTTCTGGGGCCTGTAGGTGAGCCTTTACCTTTGGTGCCAGGCGGCTGCAGGTTGTCTCCAGTCAAGGAACACCAGCCCACAGGGAAGATGTCCCGGGAGTCGAAGCGGCACCAGTAGTCAAAGGCCCCTCGCCACCCATCAAAAGTGACAAGCACCTCTGAGCCCCGAACCTCCCCAATAGTGGCTGGGCAAATGAAATGAGGGTTCTTCCTGTCCACAGCTTCTAGCTTCATTCCCATTTTGAAGAAGTTGTGGGAAGGTGATGGTGGCTCCTAGATAAGAAACAGAAATATACAAACCTAGACACAGGAGAGAGGCTGAGGCCAATAGACTGCTGACTCACTCGGAGGGTTGAAGTGACTGCTATGTAAGAGTGACCATGGACATCTAGTCCGTCTTTTAAGTGAATCTGAAAGTATGCCTCAATATTACTTAATCCTAACATTTTGACATCTTTGCTTCAGACTTTTTTTTTTTTAAAGGAATAAAAGGTTACAATCTCCCTTTGTCCCTAACGCATTTCCGTGACCTTCACCTACCACAGAGGTAACAATTATCCATGCATGTTGTTATACTTTACTATATACGTGTGTATATATATATTTGCATGCTCTTAAATTTTATATAGATGGCACGTGTCATTCTACGACTTGCTTTTTTGTTCAACATTTTGTTTTTAAATGTATTCACACTGATAAATTTACCTCCAGTTTAATAACTAATAGCATCCCACTGTACGTATGCAGCATGATTTATTCATCTGCTTGATGGACATGTAAGGTTGTTTCCAATTATTTACTATCTCAAAAGTCTGTGTGCATGTGTGTGTGTGTGTGTGTGTGTGTGTGTGTTTTAAAGATCAAGTAGCTGTGACTACAGGCATGCATGCCACTCAGTTTCAAAGGGTCCTTCCTGCACTGTTGCTCTGTACACAGGTGGGAGGGTTTCTTTAAGATACATAGTTGGTGCCCTATAGCTGTGAGTTCTAAATACAGAATGAAAATCCAAATGGAAAGCCTCGTGGCTGAGGGCCAATGTTGGTTGAACCTATAGACAGGGAACTACAAAAATGAAAGGCTTACTGCAAGCGACTTGGGCATCCTCAGAGTTTGGTATCTGTGGGGGAACCCTGGAGATGGATACTGAGGGACAACTGTATATCTAGGAGTAGAATGATTGGGTTATAGGGTAGACACATACATCCTCTGCTTTATCAAATATTGTTAAATTGCCTTCCAAAGGGTCTGAATGTCTGCTCTCACCAGCAGTGTAGAGTTCTTGGGTACTGATTTGTTGTACAGTTTCAGAAAAACGTGCCGTGCACTCTGGTGTGCCTCCTTGGTCTCACTAATACTGTACCAACAATACAGTTCCACTAAATGGGCAGCTGGTAAAAAGTCCCCTACTTGTCAGTCTTCGGTATTGTCTTGGCTATTCTCTCTTTTTCACCTCTCATGTGAATTTTGATCAGCTTTCCAAGTTCCGCAGGAAAACTCTATTAGAATTTTAGCTGGAATTATAATTAATTTATAGATCAATTTAGGAAGAAATAGCCTTTGTTATGTATGATCTTGAGCCTTCCTATCCATGAACATGATACTCTTTTCCATTCGTTAAGACTTCCTTAATGCAGATGCGTTCTTTTATATACAGTTTTCAATCCCATCTATAAATATCTCATGCTTTTTACTAACATTTTTCTAGGTATAATTCTATTGTTAGCATAAATAATTTTAAAAGTTTATTTTCAAACCAGTTGTTGCAGTTAATTAGAAATGAACTGATTTTAAAATATTGATCAACTGAGTTGAAGCATTATCTAATGCTGACGAACTTACCACTTCTTGTTTGGCTCATTTTTATTGAGATTTGTATTAAAATATGTCCTAGTGACTGTGAATTTTCCGATTTTGCCATGTAATCTGGTAAAGTTTTGCTTTATATACTTTGAAGCTGTAGTTTTTAGAAGTATGTACATTTAAAACTGCTCCATCGTCTTGGTGATATGGAGTTTATCATTAGCTGGTGACTTCCTTACTGCTTTTGCATGTCCTCTGTCTGACTTCAGTACAGTTCAGAATAGCTTTAAGCATTTTCATGTTGTTATGTTTCAGCAGTCTCTTGTACAAACAGAGCTAGAATTTAAAAAACAACTAACTTATGTCTGATTAAACTGAGTTTAAGCTCGTTTTTGTGATAACTGATATATTTGAATTGACGAGTCTCTTATTATCTGTGTTCCCATTTAATTTCACTTTTAAAGCTTCTTTTTCCAACCAACTGAGTTTTCTTCCCTTTCCTCCTCTTCATTGATTCAGAAATGAACATTCTGTTTATAATCCTTTGCTGGATCCCCTCAAGAGTTTAACTATATGGGTAAAACAACAATGTGTAAAATTCATCTTCACTTATAGCCTCAAGCAATACAAGAACTTTAGATGATTTTAACTCCTAAATCTCCACTTGGTTGTACTGCCAATCCATCGTGTTGCTGTTCCGGTTGGTAACCCTGAGACAGGCAGTGTGCGTGGTCAGCTTTACCCAGCGCCAGCCACCCTCTTTCCTCATTGCCTCTCGCATCTCATTCTGGCTCAACTTTCTTCCTGAAATGTTAAGTTGCTCTTTTAGTGGATGTACTAGTGTCCACTTAGATTGGCTGTTTAAATTTTTGGATTTTTCCTTGCTTCTGAAATAATAATATAGCTAGATGTAGAATTTTAGGGGAATGACTGTTTCCTCTCATTTCTCTGAAAATAGTATTCCATTGTCTTCCGGTTTATACTGCTGCTGTCAAGACGTGTGCTGTTGGCTTAACTGAAACTCCTTTAGAAAGTGTCCTGTTTGATTACTTGCTCACACCTTTTCTTTTGCCTTTATCTTCCTATATTTATACTATGGTGCTTTAAGTGTGTAAGTGTCTTCACTGCATACTTTGTTAGTAACTTTTCAAATACTGACATTTTATTCTAACTAGTCTTTCTGAATTTCACGTTCAATGTTTATCGAACCTTGTAATATACGTATATTGGACCTTCTACTGTATGTTATTTTATTAAACTTTCTTCCTTTAAATTTGACCAGCAAGCCACCAGGCCTGGGACTCAAACTGCGGTCAGCCATATGGGAGTTCTGTGCCCTTAACCACCATGCCACCTGTTGGAGCTGAACCTTCTAATATTTTTATCTTTGTGTTTTCTCTTTCATATTTTCTACTCTTTATCTCTCTATGGTGCAATCTGGGAAAACCCTTTACACAGCTTTTGGGTAATTCCTCTTTATGTTTAAATTATGTGTCAGGACATCTGGAAAGCCATGATGAATTTGTCAATGAAAAAAGGGGCCATGATTTTCCAGACAACCCAATAAATACCTACGTATTAATTTTTAATTTCAACGGTTGACATTTCTACAAGTTTCATGTGTAGAAATTAAGTTTGGTCTTTTTTCAAACTTGTCTTTTAAAAAACAGTGTTTTGCATTTTTCCTCATTTTTTAATTCTTTTAGTATACTAGTCATTTTCAAATACTTTATTTATATCTGACATTTCTCTTAACCTACAGTGCTTGGGATTATGTTAACATGTGGTGTGTCTACTGACTCCCCATTAGGTCAGATTTGTTCTGAGAATGTTGAAGAGCTTTGTAATTCGAGACTACATGCTCGTCTTTAGTGGTACTTCATTGTGGGACTTCTGTGACATCAAACCCTCTAGAGAGATTTTGGGTTTGCTACTGTCAGGTACCCAGAAATGTCTCCATCCAACTTGAGTTCCTAGGCAACACAGCGACTGTCAGACCCTGGACTACAAGAGGGAACTCTGTCACCGGAGGGCGTGACGCCACCCCATCCTCGGCCAGAGCCCAGCATAGACTGTCCTTCATCAGTGTAATCGTTTCACCTGAGGGGTAGAGATTTGAGGACTGCGATACGGTGTTGACGTGGCAGCCTGAGTCCATTTCCTCGCCTCTCTCGGGCCCAAGGCCTCGCTGAGTGTATCACTGTGCCTCGTAAACAGAGAAGACTCCCGGGAAGTACGACTGACAAAGGCCCTTATGACAGCGCAGACTCAGTGCACACATTTCACACTCTTGCTTTTCTTTCTTCATTTTTAGCCTCTAGAGTTTTCTTATTTCTGGTAAGCTCAGCAAAGCACTGAAAATAATATTTTTTGATTTCTTTACCCTTCCCCTGCCCCAGACATTTTAAAGTATTTTGTAGTAAAAAAGTTTTTACACTGCCCAATATACTGTATTTTGGAGACCAAAATGTTCTCAGGGTTTAGATTTAACTAGTAGCATAGCAAAACATAATTCAATCCCCTTTTCGGTAAATCTCACCCCATTAGAGCATTCAACTGATAGCAGAGGGAATGTCTTACCTTTTGAGAAACATGGACAAAGACAGGTATGGATCCCTGCTCTGTCACTGACTAGCTATGTGATCTTGAGTGAGTTTCTTACGCAGACGTACCTGTTTACTTAACTATTAGATGGAAATAATAATTTTTGGTTCACAAAGTTAGCTGTGGATAGTAAATGAGACAGTAGATTTAAAGCCCCAAACATATTGTAGACACTCAAAACATAG